TGGGGCAGGAACCAGTCCTGAGTGGTGTGGACAGAGGTGACCCGGCGTGGAGCGTGGGGTGGGAACCAGTCCCGAGTGGTGTGGACAGAGGTGACTTGGTGTGGAGCGTGGGGCGGGACCCACTCTTGAGTAACTTGAATGTGTGAGGTCTCCTAAGTGGGGAGACCACTCCTGAGCTCTTGTGCAGACCTCAGCCAGGCTGGGTCTTGAATGTCTAGACTCAGGGACCATGGGTGGGTATGGGGTGGGGTCACACGGTTGAAGTCTCTGCAGATACTTGCTAAGGGCCAGGAGGGCCTGGGGGTGATTTGGGACGGGCACTGGCCCCAGCAGCGGCCTCTTACCGTGATGTCCTCCCCCTGGGCCAGGTGAAGAAGATGGGTGAACTTGGACTCCTGGCCATGGACGTGCCTGAGGAGCTGGGCGGTGCTGGCCTCGACTACCTGGCCTACGCCATTGCCATGGAGGAGATTAGCAGGGGCTGTGCTTCTGCTGGGGTCATCATGAGCGTCAACAACGTGCGTGCCCCCCGGCCCTGGGGATGCCCAGCGGGGGGTCTGTATGGGCGGGCACCTAGGGGGTTCCCAGACTTGGCTGCTGGGACACTTGTCTGGGCTTGGCCCTGCTGGGTCATCACCAGAGAGGATGGGGTGGCTGGGCGTGAAGGTTCTGACTGCCCCCTGTTCCCAGTCGCTCTATCTGGGGCCTGTCATGAAGTTCGGCTCCCAGGAGCAGAAGCGGCAGTGGGTCACTCCTTTCACCAGCGGTGACAAAATTGGCTGCTTCGCCCTCAGTGAACCAGGTAACTCAGTGGGCAGTGGGTCTTGGCCCAGCCTGTCCCTTCCCTTGGCCCAGAATCAGGGTAACAAACTCAGATCGGGGCTGGGATGTTCTCAGGGGAGAGGCAGGAGCCTCGGCTTGTGTGGACAGCTGGTCACCCTCTGTCTCTGGACCTTGTGAGGAGGGCTTTGTCCTGGCGTCCCTGTGTGGGAAGGTGCCCACCCCCTGCCTGCCCTCTGTACCTTCCGGAGCTGGCGGCCTGGTACCATCTTGAGCCTGGGTTGGAGGGTCTCTGGTGCTCACTGGCGAGGGGGCGGAGTGGGATGAGGGGGCGGCAGCGCCCTCTGGTGGGAGGAGGCAGCCTTGGTCTCCGTGCGCACAGGGAACGGCAGCGACGCAGGCGCCGCCTCCACCACGGCCCGCGCAGACGGTGACTCGTGGGTCTTGAATGGTACCAAGGCCTGGATCACTAACTCCTGGGAAGCTTCTGCCGCAGTGGTCTTTGCCAGCACGGACAAGTCCCGGCAAAATAAGGTAGGCGCCCCAGAGAGGGGCCGCTGGGACCCCCGGCAGCGATCACTTTGCAGTTTCTAGATCCAGGCTTCTCAGCTTCTCCCTGGAACTTGGGCCCACCTGGCGGCTGTTCCTGCCTCGGGGAGCCGGGGCCGCCCCTCCGTCCCCGGCGGCTCATCCACCGAGGACCAGCAGAGGGCGCTGTGGCCTGCAGTTCCGAGGGCGGAGGAGGGAGGGGCTCGCCGCTGTTTGCTGTTTGGTGTGTAAGGGGCGTGGCTGAAAATACTCGGGTCTGCATCTTCTCAGGGTATCAGCGCCTTCCTGGTTCCCATGCCAACGCCAGGGCTCACACTGGGCAAGAAGGAGGACAAGCTGGGTATCCGGGCTTCATCCACGGCCAACCTCATCTTTGAGGACTGTCGCATCCCCAAGGACAACCTGCTGGGGGAGCCGGGAATGGGCTTCAAGATCGCCATGGTGAGTCTGGGAAAGGGGGCCCTGACTGGGGACGGGGACCCTGGGGAGAGGCTCAGCCGCTGACCGTGCTGTTCCTGCAGCAAACCCTGGACATGGGCCGTATCGGCATCGCCTCCCAGGCCCTGGGCATCGCTCAGGCTGCACTCGACTGTGCCGTGACCTACGCCGAGAACCGCAGGGCCTTTGGGGCACCCATCACCAAGCTCCAGGGCATTCAGGTACTGGGTGGACTTCGGGGTGTAGACACAGCCAGCTCCCAGCAGAGACTGTCCCCACCCCACCCCCACCTCCTCCGCCCGCTGCTCCTTGGAGGGAGGCGTGAGGGCCGACTGGTCTTGGGGGCTGGCTCGTTACAGTTCAAGTTGGCTGACATGGCCCTGGCCCTGGAGAGTGCCCGGCTGCTGACCTGGCGTGCTGCCATGTTGAAGGACAATAAGAAGCCTTTCACCAAGGTGCCTGTGGGGAGGGGTCTCCCGAGGCCCCGAGCTCGGTGGGCCGAGGGCCTGAGGGGCCAGGTGGTGGGTTTCAGTTCTGTGGCCTCTGTGGGTCAGAGATGAGGGTGGGCCTGCGGGTTTTCACTCCAAAGGGGGCTCCCCAGGACCGTCCCCCGAGGAAACTCTGACCCTGCCACTCCCTGTGCTCAGGAGGCTGCCATGGCCAAGCTGGCTGCATCGGAGGCTGCCACCGCCATCAGCCACCAGGTGAGTCTCCCAGGGGTATGTCCCAGCTGCGGCTCCCCCAGCTGGTCACCTCAGGTGGCTGGATATGGCCCTTTCCTCCCCGGGGGGGGGGGGGTCTTCTTTTCTCTCCCCTGAGCCCCTCCCCCCCGCCGTAGGCCATGCAGATCCTCGGTGGCATGGGGTATGTGACGGAGATGCCAGCTGAGCGACACTACCGCGACGCCCGCATCACCGAGATCTACGAAGGCACCAGCGAGATCCAGAGGCTGGTGATTGCCGGGAACCTGCTCAAGAGCTACCGGAGCTGAGCCCCCCCCCGCGGGGAGTCAGGCTGGCCTGGGACCTCAGTCGTGACTCCTCCTCGGAGAGCCTGGGCCATGCTCCCTGATCCGGGCTGGCTGGAGGGGGCTTCTGCTGATGCCCCACACCTCCCCCCAAACCCACACTGCCTGGGAGCAAGTCTCAGGGACTCCAGTCAGCTCAGCTTCCTGGCTTTGCTACCTCCTCTCTACCACCGTGCCTCAGTTTCTCCATCTGCGTGAAAATGGCCTCCTGGGGGAGGCAAGAGGGGGGCTTCATGGCCCTGTGGCCGGCTTCCTGTTTCCTGGACTCCCCACGGTCTGCTCGGCTCACGGGCCCTGGTGCTCAGCGTGAGGGCCTCGCTGGAACAGGCTGGGGGCAGCCTCTGCTCTGTTCCCTGACTCAGGGCTTAGATGAGGCTCGAATGACCAGATCTCGAAGGAGCAGAGGCCTGGGGTCCTGCGTGTCTTGGGGAGGGAGTGGGCTTTTGGAAGTGGCCCAGAGCCCACTGACCTGTTCTTGGTAAAGTACCACAGGGGCGGGCTGGGTGGTTGGTCTCCGTCATACTCTGGGGCAGTGAGTGTGGAGGCTGGCTGGGTAATAAAGTGAATGTGAGCCCTGTGTCCTCAGCCCTCCCCTGGTGCTTCCAGGAGGGACATGGGCCCTTAGAGCTGTGTGTGTGTGTGGCCTGTGTGTGTGTTGTGGGGTGTGAGAGCTGCTCTGGGAGAAAGTTCCACTTGGCAGGAGGCAGGATTGGCCAGTGAAGCAGTTCAGGAAAATAAGGAACTGGGTCCCCTTGGCCTCAGTGAGTGACCGTGGCTGGGAGGGTGGGTCAGGAAGGGCCACAAGACCAAGGGTACTTGAGGCAGGCCTGTGCCTTGGGGGCCATCTGTGCAGCCTGGGGTGGGAATGGAGGCCACGCTGGGTCGGCTGGGGAGGGAGAGGGGGAGGAGCCCAGCTGGAGAGGCCCTGCCACCAGGCCCTGAGGAGGCGAACACCTTTGAAGCATTTTTTACTTGGATGCGCACAGCAGCTGGCACTAAGTTGCCAGGAGGGACTGGCCAGGAGGCTGTTCCTGGTGGGGTGGCTTGGGCTGAGCTACCACTGCAGCTGGAGCCCACGCTTTCAACCACTTTGGTCCAATGTCATGATTGAAGCCACTGGAAGAGAGTAAAGATGTCGGTGGGGTTGGGGACTTGGAACAGGATTGCTGGCAGGTCTTGAGGGGAGATTGGAGGGGAGCCAGGTGATCCTTTAAGGGCTGTTAGCAAGTGGACCAAAGGTGCCTAGGTGATAAAAGGGTTTGTGCTCTACTACCTGCTAACCTAAAGGTTGGTGGTTCAAACCCACTGAGCATCACAGGACACAGGCCTGGTGACCTATTAAGATTACAGTTAAGATAACCCTCTGGGGCAGTTGCCAAGAGTCCAAATCCACTGGCTGGCATCTGATGACAATCAGATGGCCGTTAACCTGGGGCCGTCACTGCCTGTGGATTTCTGTGCCGCGACTGAAGGAACCTGCGGCAGCCCCCAGCCCGCCCCCGTGGGGGTGCTAGCCTGAGCCGGGGGACCAGGCTGGCATCACTACGGTCAGTGTCATCCCCTCCGGGACCTCCTCCTGGACCAGACTGTGGAGAATCCTTAATGTTCATCATCAGCTTTAATCAAAATAATAGAATAATTGTAAATTGCTTAAGTGAAATATTTTTTGGGTAATAGGAACACCAACAACAAAACAAATGGTCACTGAATTACAGCACCCAACTGAGTGGAAGCCTGTTGTGATTTTCCCCCTAGTCCCTTAAAACTACGTTCTCAAACAAGTTACTGATAGAGGTTCACAAATACTCATGACCACAATATTGTAGCTAAAACACCAGAAAATTTGACTATAGAAACAACCACGGCAATGGAAACAGCGTGTGCTCGCAGCAAGTGCAGATGAAACCATTGAAGTGTCATTGTGATCGGTAATAATGATGGCTATGACTGGATCACTTAGATTTAAGAAGTAAATTAGCATGAAATTTTAGCCTTGTAGATCTATCCATAAGGAGCTCTGGTGGTGTGATGGTTAAGGTATTTGGCTACTGACCAGAAGGTTGGTGGTGCAAACGCATTCACCCACCCCATGGAAAGGGAATTGACTTGGTGGTGGAGCTGTCAATGGCAGTGGGTTTGTTTTCTGAGATCTGTTGATACACAGAAGATGAAACAGTTTTTGTTGTAACTAATGGGTTTATTTTATTTTTTTTTTTTATCTTTATTGTGATTTGAGTGAAGGTTACAGAGCAAGTTCATTTTCCATACAGTAGTTGATATGCATTTTGTCCTATGACATTGACTGCAATTCCTCACAGTGTAACAGCTCTCTTCCTACTTCCTCCCTTACAGTCACTTTGGTGTCACCCCTCTGAGAGTGTTGCCCGGTGTGGTTAGTACCCCCACAGCCCCAGTGGTGCTACTGTCAGAAACGGTGCACCCGCGCGAGGTGCTGGCCTCCGCTGATGCCCGCCTGCTGGGGCTGCTGCCGGGGCCGTGGGTAGGCAGGGTCAGGCGGGCTGCGCGTGGGGCAGCATCTGGGCTCAGGTGTGTGGAGCAGAGGGTGTGCCCAGTGCTGGCCCCCCAAGGGCAGACAGGCATTTCCTTCTATGAATTCGGTTTCTGCCCCGGGGCGGGCCGTGTGGGGGCGGGAGCACAGGTGTTGGCTTTCCTGCCAACATGGTGCACCTGGTGCTCTCGGGAGCCGCCTCCCACTCTCTGGTATCAGGCAGAGGGGCCCAGGGCTGCAAGAAGTTTGGTGATCTGTGTCTGCCTCCTGGCTCAGGTAAGCACGAGGAAGGGCCTGTCCCTTGCCTCACACCTCTCTCACTCCTGGACCTGTCCTTGTCCCCACCCTGGGCTCAGATTCAAGGAAAAGGTGGGGGGAGGGTTGTGGCTTCATCCCTGGGAGCAGCCAAGTTTGACCACCCCACTCCTTAGGTGGGAGACAGATGAAAGGCCGTAACTCCCAGAGTCACTGATCCCAGACCATTCCCAGGTGCCCGGACACAGCGGGGAGGAGGGGTTCAGGTGACCGTGACCGGCTAGGCAGTACTGGCTCCTGGTCCAGCCATTTTTCTAGGTGCTGGGGGGAGGGGAGGGGGCTGGAGGCTCACAGACAAAGCCACAAAGAGGCTTCTGCCCCATAGAGAAAGCCCAGGGAACACGCCGACAGACAGCCTCAGGGCGTTCAGGGAGCACCAGCCCCCTCACTCAGAACTCTGGCTTGGTGTTCAGGCCCAGAAGGCTTTATACCCTCCGGCCCCAGAGATGCTTCTGGGCTTAAAGGGCCCACAGGAACCAGCCTGAGCCGCCCTGTAAAACCCATCGGGGCAAAGGCTTGGGGCCCAGCGGTCAGCTCAGGCCAAGGAACAGGCCTGTGGAGTCCAAGCGTCAGTGCCAGCTGTTTCCGCGGCTCAGAACTTCATGGGCCTCCTTTGAGACAGCACCACAGGGCAGGCCTTGAGGGCCACGTTCCCATTTCACACTTTAAGTACCCAAGGCTCTGAGCCAAGGGTCGGTCCATTGACTTTAAGGAGTTACTGGGGTCTGAGCTCTGCCTCTCTCCAATGAGGAGAGGTGCCATGCACAAAGCCTTGGTGTTGTTAAGGAGCAGGTCTGTGCTAATTGAAGATCCCAGCTTAGAACTAAATGGTGAACTCCATCCATCCTGTGGTCCATTTGAACCTGAACTACTGGACAGCAAGTTGCAGACATGATGTCTCTCTGCCTAAATATCTCCATGCATGTTCCTTAAGAACAAGGACATTCACTTTGACAGCACAGTCATTGGAACCGGGAGACTTAACCACGACGGTCCACCAACAGGACCTGCTCAGGTTCTGCCCATTGTCTCCATGACCTTCCAGAGCCATTCGTTTCAACGGCCAGGGTCACACGCCTTGAGGTCTCTCATCCCCTTCACTCCGAGACAGTTCCTCTGACTTCGTCTTTCTCGGTCCCTGCATTTCTGAAGTGTCCAGGCTGGTGGTTTGATAGAACATCCCTCAGCTCAGATGAGTCTGGTCATTTCCTCATGATTCACTTCATGTTGTGTGCTTTTGACGGCAAGAGTGTAGGCTTTTATTTCTGACATGCATTACCTGTATTTTAGCTTTTAATTGATCTCCTGAGGAGCTCTGATGGCATAGTGGTTAAAGCAGTCAGCTGTTATCCCAAAGCTTGGCGGTTCAACCCCACAAGTCACTCCATGGGAGAAAGATGAGGCAGTCTGCTTCCGTAAAGATTTACAGCCTTGGAAACCTATGGGGCAGCTCCACTCTGTCCTATAGAGTTTTTAGGATTTGGAATCGGCTTGATGGCAAGCTTTTTTTTTTTTTTTTAAAAGTCTCCTGAGGTTTTGATTAGTCTTTCTAAAGACCAACTTTTGGCTTTGTGGATAGTCAGTATTATACTTTTAAATCACTGATTAATATTATTTATAACCATTACCACTATTTACTCTAAAAGCTTTTCCATCACCCCCACAGGAGCCCCGTCCCCCTTAGCAGCACCTCCCCATCTCCCATCGCCTCCCTCCCGGCAACCCCTAATCCACTGCGTCTGTTTGCGTGCTCCATGTATTTCACATAAATGAAATCACCCAATATTTGTCCCTTCGTGTCTGGCTTATTTATCATGTTTTCAAGGTGCATCCCTGTGCTGGCATATATCAGGACTTCATTTCTCTTTATGGCCGAATAATACCCCATTGTACGGATAGAGCTCTGGTAGTGTAGTGGGTAAGGCATTTGGCTGCTAACCAGAAGGTCAGTGGTTCAAACCCACCGACTTCTCCACAGGAGGAAGATGAAGCAGTCTGCTTCTGTAAAGATTTACAGCCTTAGAACCCAAGGGGGGGTTGCTCTGAGTCAGAATCGACTCGGTGGCGGCCGTTTGGTTTGGTTTGGTATCGACAGACCACATTGTGTTAATGCAGTCATCTGTGGATGGACTCTTAGACT